TCTCTTTTATCAGACAGCATTCAAATTCAGTTAGTACACACCTTACTTCAGCAGGACCTCATGTTAACTGATAGCATCTTCTTTAGACATGGACCCTGTGTCTAAACAAAGTCATGCTTATAAGTACCAGGGATTAGAACTGCAACATATCTTTTGGGACACATAATCTGAGCCATATCAACTAGAGATCATTTTAAATCTCATTAATTAAACAACTTGGAAAAATAGACAGGTTTCTCAAAAACCAAATACTAAAAGGGAAAAAAAATTCAGTAGGAAAAGGGCTTTAAACAAAATGATTTGCAGTATTTTTTCATTACTAGTTTTAATGAAAGTTTACAGAAACTTTGGATTTCCATTCATTCACTGTTGCACTTTTCTCCCTGCCCAACCTCCCCCTCAGTTGACTCTTCTCTTTGAAAAGTAAAAGAAAAATTCTTTCATTGTTATACAATCCCTCCCCCCAAGTCCACTCCACTATGAAGCCTTCATTCTGGACTCCTGTCATGACAATAATACCTAATCATATACCCCTTTTAAACAGTTCTCTCAATAATTCACAATCTTGACTAAAGGGACAGAATACAACAAGATAAGACATTCTTCTGACACACTTAGAACATGTACCAAAGTTGTCATATTCTGTTACATAAAACAAGTATTACTGTATTTCAGGTGATTAGCAAAAAAGAATCACTTCTCTCCATGCAACTAAGCTAAAAATCGATAAGCAGAACGACAGCAGCAGCAGCAAAGATTTTAAAAATCTCCTATGTTTTGTGATATGGAGAAATACTTCTAAATAATTCATAGATCAAAATCAATATCATAATGGAAATTGGGAAATATCTTTGAGCTGAATGATCATGAAAACACTACATATCAAAAGGTGTGAGGTACAAGTAAACAACATCCTTAGAAGGACATTTTATAGCCTGGCATGTGTGTGTTCGAAAATAAGACAAACTGCAAATTAATGAGCTGAGCATCCATCACAGGGAGTTAGAAAGAGGACAGCAGGAAAATAAGCCCTAAAGAAGAGAGGAGAAATGGAATCAATAAAAATATGAACGGAAATGGATGGAATCGAAATTAGCATTCAGGACCAAAAGCCATGGAAGATAAATGCTGATTCTTTGGAAGAAAAATTAATAAAATAATAAATCTTGGACAATAGCAAAGAAAAAGGAAGACAACACAACCAACACTGGGTATGAAAATAATCACATCACTGTAGGGGGGGTGCAGACATTAAATACTCAAGATAAGATCCTGAACAACCTTCTACCAGTAAAGTTCAAATTTTAGATATAATGGACAAAATCTTCAAAAAAATGTAAGTTGGTGAAAATTATAATTGATAGATTAAGAATACGAATCATGCTACAAACATTAAAGAAATTAAATGAACATGTTTCTCAGACTACACAAGGCAATAACAAAATCCCAGTTCTCAGTGGCCACAGTCCCAATTTCAATGACCTAGCTCATTAAAGTGCTTCTCTCATTGCATAAATCCCAGGTATCTTGAGAAAATCTACAGGATAGTTTCCTTCTAAGTAGCATCTTGAACATTCTAGGAAGCCTTATCTTGTGCTTTTGCCTCCTTTTAAGTGTGTCTTCCAGGTGCACTATGAGAGAGCAAAGGAATTATGCAAGAATTGTTACAGCCAAGTTTGGATCAAACATGCATCACTTCCCACTGACCAGGACTCAGTCAAATCGCAAAAATGGAAGTGCAACCCAATTTTCAGGGAAACTGAGAAATAATAACTTTCTATGGGCCCAAGAGGAGGAGAAATCAGGTTTAAACTGAACATGTGGCATTGATCTTGGCCACATGTGAAAAAAAGAGTATCAGCAGAAAGCTCGTAGCTAACATCAGGCATAACAAGGCGAGACCCACACCTACTCTGTGATCCAGCAGATTCACTCTTAGGCAGGTGTCTTAGTGGAATACCTGTCTCTGAGCACAGTGGGACATGGTGTTCATGGCTCTGTTGTTTGCAGCTGTCCAAAGGCAGAGTCAAACTAAGTGTAAAAGTACTAGTAGCTGTTGTTAGGTGCTTTTTAACTCTGGCTCATAGAAGCACAGAATGAAAGGCTGCCTGATCCTACACCACCCTCATCCTCTCCGCCGCCCACTCTTATAGTTATTGTGTCAACCCATCTCACTGAGGATCCAACAGAGTGCAGAAATTGTCACCGTCATTAATTAAGCACAAGAAAGTAAAATCTCACTGAAAATTACGCAGATGACTGAAGTAATACAACTACAGGGAACTTCCAGAATCTCAGGCTAGAATCAGGAAGAGAATGTGGAATAAGGAATAGGCTAAAAAAGAACAGGACAGCATGGGAATGGCTGCATCTGACCACCCTAATTTCATAAGGGGAACTGTCCCCATCAACAGCATCCACAACACAGAGCCAGTTCCAATGAGATCAGACATGCCCCTCACACTCATGCACCTGCTTCTACTAATTCTAACACCAATTTTACTACTTTCCAGGGTCTGAAATCTGTTGCACTAACTGCACATAGTATAGTCCTCACAGAACTATACTATACTCGTGGTTATGGGGTTTATTAGGGAAGTTAACAAGTTACCACTCAGGTTGGCAACAAGATTCAGTTTCTTAATCAAGAAGCTTCTGAAACATTCTTGCAGGTCCTTTAGCCTCCAGTCTTATAATTTTAGACCAAATGTTACAAAGTTCTCTTAGACTTGCCAATTCAGGCATCTCTCTCGTCCTCCAGCAAGCTCAGGTGAAGGCCCTTGACTCTGGCTCCACGGAGCAGTGGTCCTAGGTCAGCATTGTCTCACATCTGGTCTCTGATTCTCCACTGCAGATGCTAGTGCTTTCTCTGTGGGTAGTGCGTCCTTGCTGGTAGTGAAAGTCCCCCGGCTTTCAGCTGCTGAACCAGCTCAGTTTAAATCTCCCATAATAATTAAAGTGACCAATCTGCTCATAGAGTGTACAACACGCTCTGTTTGCAGATTCCCTCCCAAACTTGTGGCAAAATCATGGGCAATGAACAACAGACCCACTATACCACAGATATTGCTGCTACCACACAGGCCCTTAGCTGAAAGCAGAGAACACCACAGAGATGTTTATTTGTGTTTTGTTGACTGTGTTCAACTGTGGTAGTTGTTGTGTACCATTGAGTTGGAACCAACCCATAGCTGGCCCTCCAGCAGGTTTTCAGAGGCACTTAATGGCACCAGAGGAGATTGCCCATCTTCTCCTGCAGAAATATCATAATAAACTTTAGATAACACTGAGAAGAATGGAAATGTCAGAACACTTAACTGTGCTCACGTGGAACCTATGTGTAGACCAAGAAGCAGTCAGTTGAACTGAACAAGGCGATACTGTGTGGTTTAAAATCAGGAAAGGTATGTGTGAGAGTTGTATCCTTCCATTATTCTTTCTCAGTGTATGTACTCATCAAATAATCTGAGAAGCTGGACTATAAAAAATGTGCCGTCAGGATTGGAGGACTCATCAACAACTTGGGATATTCAGATCATATTAATTAGGGCATGGCATTCAACTACAGCCTTCAGTATGGATTACATCTCAGCATCAAGAAGACAAAAATCTTTACAACTGGACAATTGGTGGTAGTTGTTGTGTACCATTGAGTTGGAACCGACCCGTAGCTGACCCTCCAGCAGGTTTTCAGAGGCACTTAATCGCACCGGAGGAGATTGCCCATCTTCTCCTGCAGAAATAGCTTCAATTCAAACTGCGTACCTTTGGGTTGGCAGCGCAGTTCCTTACTGCTAAGCCACCAGAGATCCCTGTTTGTGTGTAGCTCACTATTGGTAGTAGTTGTTGTTGTTGTGTACCATCAAGTCGGAACTGACCGTCCAGCAGGTTTTCAGAGGAAGTAAATCACATAGGAGGAAGTTTCCCATCCTTCTGCAGAGCAGCTGGTGGATTTGAACCACAACTTTTTAGGATTGCAGCACAGTTCCTTACCACTAGGCCACCAGAGCTAGATAGTACAATTATTTGGAATATAGTCATACAAAGGAATCTATTACAACAGCCAGATGGGAGATGGAGTGCATGAGTTCTGGTGGTGCAGTGCATTGCAGATTGCACTGCCAGCCAAAACACTGTGCATCTCTGGTAGTTCAAATCCACCAGTGACTCCTTGGGGAAAGATGGGAGCGTCCTCCCAGGAAGAGTTACAGGACCCTTTGAAGGGTCCCATGGGTCAGAGTAGACTCAATAGCAGTGAGCTTGAGTTTTCCGTAGAAGTGAAAAAGAAAAAAATAAATAATAACGAATACTTTCAGTATTCGTGGTTCTATTTATGAACATTTTCAAAGCAGCCACGCAAATCTGTGCTTTTAAAGAATACTGCAAATGTGTGGTGAAGCTATAAAGGGAAGCACAAGGCTTAATATCATAAAAATAGAGAGAGTCATTATCTCCAATCACAGTGGGAGCTGCGACAGAGAACTTGGGGGGGGGGTTTAGAAGCGTTCAGAACCTTATGAGGTTGAAGGTTGAAACAGGCTGAATGTGCTTTATAAGTATAAAGACTGTGTAAGTACACACAGACTGTGTGTTTTATTATGTCTTATGTGCCTCTGTTTCGTAACACAATGATATAACTTCTTTACTTATTGTGGTTTATATGAAAGTTTACAAAGAAATTGGTTTTTCATTCACCCATCCATGCACATTTACCCCTTGTCCCCGTCTTGATACAGTTTTGAAAAGAAATGCTCTTTAGACATGCTAACCCTCCCAACCTCACACATTGTTATTCAGTGGAAATCTTTCTCCCGTTAGAAGTGGCCCTCGGTCCCTGAGGTAGCCCCTTGCTGTTGTAAGGAAGCTCGCGCACCCAGGAGAGGAGTCCAGGGTCAGCTCCCAGTCAGGACAGGGCACAGAGGCTTTTCAGCACCTGCCTGCCTTCAGGCTGCCAGAGGGCAGACTTCTGAGGGCGTAACGCTGCCCCTCCCCCTTGCCAGGGAAGTACCAGGTGATCGAGGGCATCGTCTCCCCCGTGAATGACAACTACAAGAAGAAGGACCTCGCGGCGGCCCGGCACCGCGTGGCCATGGCCCGGCTGGCCTTGCAGACATCCGACTGGATCCGGGTGGATCCCTGGGAGAGTGAACAGACACAGTGGATGGAGACGGTGAAGGTGCTGAGGTAAGAGCTGGTGTCTTCTCATGTGTGATGAGTCCAAGAGAGGCATCTGCAGAGCCCATGGGTGCGAGAGAGGGGCTGAGAGCTGAGGAGGCTTCGTCCAGGGTGCTCAGCCACAACCAAGAGACGTTTGCCTTAGGAGAGACCAGCCTCAGAGAGGCCCCAGAGCAGCTAAAAACAACTAACCACTCCCCTCCAGCCAGCGACAGGGTGCACTCTGCGGAGAGCTGCTCTTGTGAAGGATGGAGCACTAGTCCAGCGCTTGCTAGCTCTGTGATTTTGGATGAGTGTCTTCACTTCTCAGAGACACATTCTCACATGCAAAATGACGACAGTGAAACCAACGAGGATTCAGAACTGTTGATGGCTTTTTGTGTTTTGTGAGGGTTTGGTTTTGTTTTCTTTTAATGCAACCCAGACCATTTTATCCTGGCCTAGGTTGCAAACCTCATTTAGATTTAAGAAGTCACATCTTCTCATTATACAAGCCCCAGGTTCTGCAAATTCAGACTTTTATTTAAAATAGAAAAATAGCCAGATTGTATATCTGATCATAGTTATTCGGGATTTTTTTTTTTCTCCTATTGGAATTACTGTTAGTGTCCAGGATTAGGAATGTAATTTTAAATCTGTTTCTCTTAGGATGATGTGTTCCTGCTTGTGTCCGGGAACCTTAAAGGGGAGGTGGGTACAGACACAGGAGCCCCCCCCCCGTGAGGTCCACATGCCCACTGCCCACACCTGTCAGAACTTTGAGGGGGACAAGGCCCGCCTAACAACCACGTGTGCAGAAGGGGACTGAAAATAGATAGAAATGGAAAATCGATGTGTCAAATGCGATAATGGTTACCCAAGGTAGACAGTGTTTGGTGGTGCTCCCCAGTTAAAAGCTTGGAAGCAGGAGTGGCATCCACTTCCATAAATAGCTTGCCTCCGGAAACCCCATGAACCAGGAGGAAGGATGAAAATCATGCAACTGTTGAGGACTTTCCTTCATAGGGTCACTATGAGTCGCCTACAACTTGACAGCACTTAACAACACAGAGAGAGACCAGTTGGTCTAGTGGACCGAAAGCAATGCTACCAAGACAAAGGTGGGTGACTCTAATCTGCAGCCCTTAGGCCTATTTTCATTGTTTTTATTCAAACAGTCTTCTGGGTCGTATAGCCTTGGTGTGTCCACTTGCCGTACGGAGATAACTTGGGGTCACTGTGAAGCTGAACACTGTGACACTGATGGGTCAAATGCAATAATGCTTACCCACGGCGGACAGTCTTTGGTGGAGCTCCCTGATTAAAACAAGCTTGGGAGAAGGAGTGGCATCCACTTCTGTAAATAGCTTGCCTCCAGAAACCCTGTGAACCTGGAGAAAGGTTGAAAGTCATGCACGCAAGTGTGTCGAGGGCTTTGGTTCATAGGGTCGCTATGAGTTGCCTATGACTCGACAGCACTTAACAACAACATATGTCTTCCACCGCCCCCTCTTTTGAAGCTCTAGGAAGTCTTACAAGTCCAGTTATAATGCTCCTTCAAAGCAAAAATTGTTAGACTGCCTCACTAACTTTGAGCATATTGTCAGGAGAAGGAAATCAGGCTCGGAAAGGTAGGGGCTCAACAAAAGAGAGGAAGGACTTCAATAAGTGAATTAGTGTAGTGACAATAGGCTTAATTATAGCAGAGATTTTGAGGACGGCAGAGGCTGAGGCAGAGGGTTGATCCATTGTGCATAGGCCTCCGTGGGTCAGAAGTGACATGAGGCAGCCAGTAACAATAAGCAGATGATCGCCTAGAAAATGGGAAGCGTAGGGAACGAGGTCGAATAATTGGCAGGTCCCTTCTTAACTTGTGTTGTTTTCACTTCACCTGCTCACAGGGTCACTGAGAGTGGCTCAGCCTCTCAGTTCTCATTTGTTTCTTACTGCTTGCCTTTTGCTACAGAAAGAACTGACTTGAAGTGCTCTGAAGTTGTTACAGGGCTGCTTCGGAACCTGTTGACAAGTTTAAAAGAGAACACGCTTTGTTTAGGGTGAAATAATTGTTTAGGGTATATGATATGCTACCTTTTTTTAAATCATCCACTGAGATAAGGAAAAAATACCTTACATTGCAAATTACATAGGAAACAAATTGACGCCTAGATTATCCTTTTAGAACGAGGAACTTAACTATCTATATGCTGAAAAAGTCATTCTTGACAAGGTGAACCTTACAAAGAAGAGTGTGGCATTAGGATCAGAGGAAGACTCAGCAGCCTGCAATACATACATGACACAACCTTGCTCACCAAAAGTAAGGAGGACTAAGTAAAGAGTTGCTATGAGTTGGAGTTGTAGTTGATTCTAGGAGCCTAGAAACAACAGGCTTCCCTGCATCCTTTAACATTGGTTCATAATTTATCCTAAAACAGAATAGCCAGTCGTGGACAAATAGGAATTGGCCCAAGTACAGTATCAAGTGACTAGAAGATCAAGGACTATAGCCTTCAATATGGATTGCATCTCAACATCAAGAAAATGGAAATCTTCATCTCTGGGCCAATAGGCAACATCATAATATATAGAGAAAAGACTGAAGTTAATAATTTCATCTTATGTGCATCTACAAACAACACCCTTGGGACCAGGAATCAGGAGACCAAAAGGTGCATTGCATTGGGAAAATCTGCTGTCAAGGACGTCTCCAGAGTGCCAACGAGCCACAATGTCAGCTAAAGACTAAGATGCACCTGATCCAAACTGTGGCGTTTTCAGTTGTTTAGTATCCATCTGAAAGCTGGATAGTGACTTAAGGATGACACAAGAACAGTCAGTGCCAGCAAGTTGTGATGCTGGAGAAGAGTATTGGATATCTTACAGACAATCAAGAGAACAAGTATAAGTCTGTCCTAGAAAAAGTGAAACCAGGACATCAAGGATGGAGAAACTCTATCTCACATACTTGGAGCATGTTGTCAGGAAAGACCAGTCCTTAGAGAAAGACATCTTGCTTGGAAGGGTGGAGGGTCAGCACAAGAGAAAAATACCTTCGATGAGATGGCTTGACACAGTGACGGTAGTGATGAGGTCAAGTGTGTTAGTGATGGGGTCAAGTGTGTCAGAGACGGTGAGGTTGGCTCAGGATAGTACAAGGTACAGAGCCATTGTTCATGGGTCACCATGAGTCATAGTGGACTTGATGGCCTTAACCACAGTGACCTGGAACAAAGCAATAGATAATCCAACAGGAATCTCACCATCTGAGAGGCAGGGCGATCTAGGACACAGGCTTTGGAGCCAAACTTACTAGCTAATTCACGTAACCTGAGTGAGTGAGCATTCTTAAACCCAAATTCCTCACCATAGAGATGACATCATCCACTTCACTGAGATACTGTGCAAACTAAATGACATTATGTGGTCGCGACACTTGGTTCATGGTCAGTACTTAATCCCATTAGTTACCCTCAACAAGATAAATTGACACAGTGGTCTCTGTGGGCTCAAGATATCAGAGATGATGAAGACAACACAGAGAGTCATAGCGTCACTGTGAGCTGTAGTTGATTCGAGGGTGCCTAGCAATAAGAAGCTTCCCTGCATCCTTTAACATTGGTTCATAATTTATCCTCCGAACAGAATAGCCAGTCATGGACCAATAGGAATCGGCCCAAGTACAGCATAAAGTGACTAGTGCTTCTGTTGGAAAATGTAGGTGGGAGCTAAGATTTCACTGAACATTATGTCTTTCTTTATTGTTTTACTGTCTCCTTAGTCCAGTGCTGATGCATCCCAGAGGTAAACAGTTCTAATCCACCAGATGCTCTGCTGGAGAAGGAGTGGCAATCTCCTCCTGTACCAGTCAGATCCGATTTGACGGTACACATACAGAAAATAATAAAATTAAAAAATTTAAAAAAAAGAAAGTACTGATGACTGGGTTTCAAGGAGAGACTTGATTTGGTTGATTAGGGGTGAGGCACCACTGGGATTGTAAGACTTTTCCTTGCGGATTCAATTGTGGGTCACTGCCCAACATCCCTAGCTTGGTGAATTAGGTTTATGCTTGATACTGAGATTTCATCCACATGAGTGGTCTCTGTGTGGCTGTAAGAATCACCTGGAAAGCTTTTAAAAAATCCTTACCTCCCAGAGCTTCTGACCTACCTGGGGCAGGTGTGAATCTTTATGTCTAAAGGTCCCTGGGTGGTACATTCTGTAGAGTTGTGGTGGGAAAATCACTGACCTGAATATCAAACCCAAGTGTGGTGTTCACCAAGAAAATATCTCCTGAGTACTCCTTCAATCTGAGTCCTTCTTCCTGTTAATTAAGAATAGCAGAGCAGGAGTCCACACTTCTCTGTGTAAGCTAAGCAAAAGATCTGTTAGAAGAATTATTTGGCAGAAGAAGACAGGGGAGAAGGAAGCATCAATAGCCCTTGTCTTGGCTAAGAAAGAAAGAGGAAATCCTTTTATAGACTCTGGAGATGAGGGAAGGAGATCATGTTTATCCAAGGGGAGCATAGAAGTTTGAGTTAACCTGTCAAAAGGGCAAGATCATCAAGTTTGTTCCTGAAAGAAGGAAGAGACACCTGGGATTGGCTCATCCCTTCCTCGGTGGGAGGGATTAGGGTAATGAGACACATGCACAGTTGTTCTTTCAAGAGCTGGTGTCTTGTGGGGAGCGTGCGCAGACTACCAAGATGGTTCTTTGCCTGATACAGCAACAGATGGACTGGTGAGGTGTGTGGTCAAGACTGAACCTTTTCAGGATAGCTGCTCTCTAGAAGGTCATACAGTGGTCACACACATGGAACTTGAAATCACTTAGGGAGTTAACTATTGTTAAGAGGAAACAGCCTCTCGTTTAAGAGTGGTTTGAGGTCTCATCATACCTGAAGTTAGCTAAATGTGGCCTTTCTAATCCCAGCCTTCCCAAGGGAGAATGCTTCCATTCAACACATCATGTTAAAAGGGAAAAGAAGTAAGAAAGTGTTCTGCCCACGAAATGCCTCTCAAAGGATATT